AAATCTATACAACTATTTATACAGTAAATAACTATCCACTTTGTACATCTGGCCCCATGCAGTATTGTATATGAGAGTAATAATTTATTGTGGGTCATCACATTGAGCACTGTCATATTTTATATTAAAATTTATGTAACAATATCTGTTTAGGTACATGTGGAATGACGGGAACTATGTGCTGTGGCAACACATAGTTCAGCTGTTTTACCAAGATGTTGAGAATGGTTTGAAGTTGATGCCCAGATTGACTTACGATCACATTAAGCTCAATTCCTATTCAACCATGCGTGTAAGTCTGGCAGCCCAGATACTGAGTGCTACTGTAGCAGCTGTGATGAAGTCATTTGGTCCTCCAGATGCAACAGGAACAGCAAAACTGTGTGAAATGATGGATTCTTATTTTGATTGTCTCAATGTGCGCAGCACAACTGAGCATCAGAGGAAGAGGAAACCATTTCTTGCACCATATAGATCAGTGGATGATCCAAGATTTCTTTGGTTGACAAATGGTTTCCTTAGCTTTCTGAAGGATTGGAAGGAAAGCACCGCCCAACGCCCTGGCAATTTCACTCAGAATGCCAGGAGCAGGATGTTCTTATCCTGGCAGACGTACGATGGGAAAGTTTGGAGGTTTCTTGCGCTTAATTCACGGACAAGGACAGATTGTATTTAAAATCACAGTCACATGAACAATTGCAACTAACAACACAGTTATATTTTTAGAAATTGCTGCGGTAAAAATCGTATCTACATTCTCATTCGTCGTGGCTCTCATCAGCCTGTTTCACAGCACTAGTCACAAATCAAGTTACAATCATAGCCGCAGGTACTACCACACTAGGGACCTCAGTTCGAGAAAGTAGCTGATTCCCATAAAACTGTTCGAAGCTTGATAACAGCTCAGTCATGACACGGTAGTTTAATATCTCTGAGGACTTTCGTTGTCGATGTGAGATGACAAATTTGGCTTTAAATAGGATATATTGTTTTGATTTCTTTGGGTAAAGTTCTTTGGCAATTGGCATTCGGACATTTTCTAGTAGTTGAAACGACTCTAATACACTTGCTTGGACTTCCATCTACGGAGACTCCCACTATGGAATGGAACAAGATGCGATACCTCAGGCAATTATAATGGATTTTTCCTTGTAGTTGCCCTGAGTGTAGCTTGTTTAGGGTTGTTTCAGAGACATCATTTGGCGAAAGTTTGTGGCTAAAGACAGATACTCTTCCAGTAGCTTTGGGCAGAAAATGCCTTCGAACAACGTGCCTCTTTGCCTTTCGACTAATTCTTACTTGCCTTATTATTCTTGAGCAACATTTTCGAAAATAATTCATATTTCTTTGTTTTTATCCTATCCAAGGCTGAACACGAGGCCCGACCTCGTGCTATGAATGACATGCATCGAGCCTGAAGTTGGGGATGGACGGGGCCTCAAATTTAGGTCTGGGGCCGAAATTGATATTAATTTGTTGATGTTAATAGTATAACTAAGATACAACGCGCGCTCTCATGCAATGGTCGATAGATTCGATTAGATGAGGTGAAAATTGACACTTTCTCCATTAGTTTGTGGAATAATGTTAGAAAAATATTAGACGATATAGTACTCTTTTCCGTAGCCTCTCCTAAACACCAGATGGAGAAGGGGAGGGTTTGGAGAATTTGAGAAAGTCATGCAAACCCCAGAAATTGTGTCCTGCAGCAGCGTTCGAAAAGTAGCACAATTCAAAACCGTGTTCAAAACATTCGAAAATGCTTATAGGCATTTCTCCACAAAAGCGCTCCGTTTGATTTCGCTTGAGGTACAGCTTTCGCTTATTTCTTGTGTGTTACAAGAAATTCTTGTACTTATACCAAAACCCCGATCTGCTTGATCGGATCTCTTTCTTTTCCTGTGTTTTAAAGAAGTCAAAGTTCAATCGTGGAACTCTAACTGCGACGATTTACAAGACCTTTACTCGACGTAACTGAAGAACAATTTTAAAAAAGCCCTAGAAACTCAGTTTAAAACAAATACCACTGCCTTGTTTTCATTTCTATCTTAGCCATCGAGCCGACTTTTGAAAACACCGAGTTTTGAAAAAGGTAGTTGACTTGAAAGAATCCCTATCGTTTCGTCAAAGTCAAACACGCGAACACAGACCACCTCCAAACGGAAGTTTTGAAAAAGTGACGCTCTGTGATCAAAGGCACCATGAGGATTCTCACCATAGAAAAAACCTCTGCAGCTCGCCCCTTGACAAAATTCTATAACTCCTTAAATTCAGTATTAAAATTAAGAGGAAAGAAGAAAGATAACTTTTGGGTTAAGCTAAAACTTACTGTTCAGTGATCAGAAAGAAAAACAAAATTACAAGTTTTTTGCTTATGCTTCATTCAGTCAAAAATGCAAAATCTGCGGTCCTGAAACTTAATTAGAATTGAATCCAAAACAAGAAACCATTCTCTTCTTTAAAATCAACAAAAAGGACCTCTTGTATACTTTTCGTATTTAGTTTTGTGGCTGTTCTTGTCTTGAATTCGCTTCAAATGAGTGTGGTTATTGGCGCATTCCCCCTAAAAAAATTTCGTTTCCTTATTCTCGTCTTATTTTCCGGTCACTGTCATTTGAACCAAGGTTTTGAAATTATGTATCTCAACTTTTATCAATTTTAATTAAATGATATCTCAGTTCTTGCCAATTATTATTGGCCTTCTGCAATGTACCTTGTCTATGTTGTAAAGCTAAGAGAATCGTTTTTCAACTAAAAGTTACCTTGGAATTTTATGAAGTTACCAGAGTACAGAGCTCTTGCCCGAAGACTAACAATTCTGATCATAGCAAAAACTCGCAGTCGACTGTACCGTATTTACCCGTGTATAATACGCACTTTTTTCCTATAAAAATAATCATCAAAATCGCGGTGCGTATTATACACGGATTCTATTGTTCGTCAAGCACGTCCTAATTCTGGTAAGTGAAAAGTGTAGTTTGATTCATCACCACGGATGATGTTCGCCGAGTTCCTTAGGAACACGAAGATTTTTGCATGAATGTAGTTTGTCCAAAATAAGCACATCGCCGCATGTGATTGGTAATTTAGCCGGATCGGCTTCAAAAGATCATTAGTTTGACCTTGTTATTTGCATTGGAAGCGACTAGCGGACACACTCTTAGCATAATTTATGTCAGACAACAGAAAAGAAGGAAATGTTGGCGGTCTGTGAAAAGAGCCATATGCTAAAAATAGGCCGTTAAGACTGCATATGGCTACTGATATAGCACAATTTTATAGCACTGAAAAGAACCACAGGTTGTACGATAATGCTATGGGTTAGCTTCGCAGAAGATTTGTCTGGCATGCAAAACATAAAACCTGCCGTATCCCATTCACTTGTTTATTATTGTAGAATATCCAAAATAATTGTGTCTGGGAAAGCCTATCTGATTCGTAATTTAATAACCTTTGCAATAGTCATGTTTTTAACCGAAGTAGTTTAGCAAAATGTTATTACAGTGGTGGGTTCTCGTTTATATTCACAAACGTACACAATAAGCACAACACGTATATTATGAGCAAAATCAATAAATAAGCTAAAGGTTCCAAGAAAAGAAATCCATTGAACGAACAGATAACGAGAAGCTTGTGGAATCGGTGCATATCCGTAGGATTCATAAGTACTCTAGTATGTGCGATCGTATTCATTAACATCCCGAACCAGGCTCTTAGTTAGCACAGACATTCAAAAGGTGGGTGTACCAAAGTTAATTTTGTTTGTCAAGGAAATCGCTGAGCGTCGCTCTCCTGCTATTTCACTTGTTTTCCATGAGAAACATCGCTGCACCACGGTGGAAAAATTACTCAATTTCCCTTCTTCAATTCCTTGATTACTAATATTTCTAGAATATGCGCTTCCATGGCCATTGCAAAACCTCATTAAAACATTGATGTGTTGTTTTTCCTTAAATAAAATCTCAGCGAGGAAATTTTTCCTGTCAATAAAAAAAATATAATTAGGAGGATTGTGCCGAAACAATGCCCACATAACATGCTTTTGCTCGATTTGGAATGAAGAGGAGACAATATTAATGTTCAAAGGCCCTTACTTGTACTATGGGTAAACAGGCTGACTTTTGAATGTTTTCCTTTTTATTTAGATGGGCACACTGAGAGATAAACATATTTTTTTTTAACCTCTAGAAGAGAAAATCCCTCCCTCTATAGGTTCAAATCTTGAGCGTGGTAACAAGCAGAGGTTTAAAGAGTGGAGGTTTGTTTTCTCGTATGATTTTGTACTAAAGGACACTCTAATATTAGAAACAGGGTTTATATTTCTGAGATTAACATACTTTAAATAAATAAACGTTGTGCAGAATAGGTTAATTATGCTCCTGAAGCCTCTGTGAACGCATTTTTATTTTTTTGTTATCTATCGCCTTTATTCAAGGGATGTTTTTTGTTATTACGAAATTATATTGTGATTATACTGCAAGGCCTCCAGGCTTTATAATGAAAGAAATACCAAGACGCTGTTCACGAAGGTTTAGTATTGTAATCTGAAAATATGGAGAGAAGAGCGTTTACACTTAACTTCCCAAAGCATAATAATCCGAAGACATCCTCGTGGAACACGATAAATCATTATTTAAGAGAAGTTAAAAATATCGCATTTCAGCGTACGCGAGGTGTATGTCTAAAGTCCAGAGCAGGACGGTTTGGACGAGGTGATGTATTTTCCTAACATTGTAAATAAATTATCAAAACCAATATATAATATCAGTACGAAAAAAATGTTACAATTTTGGATTTCGTGGCCTTATTTTTATTTGCTGATGGTTTCTATCCCACGGCATCCGCTCCTATACCTTTCCGCGCGTCTTACGTCCCACCTATAGGTACCACAAAAGTCCAAAACTTTTCCTTTTGTAGAAAGGAATGATCCCGTTAATTTTACTGAACAATAAACGGCGATAAGGTAGTTAAAGCTGTGATTAATTGATTATCTAAATTTTTTGAGCGCAGAAACCCATGATAACTGCTGCAGAAATGCTGTAGGAGTTTCCGATGCGAATATCATACTTGACAGCTTTACGAGGGGAAAAAGTCATTACCCAGTCAACGCACTACCATCATATGATCGTCTGAACGGTACCAGAGAAGATGGATGGTGCGCCGAATTAAATGATGACGAAAAGTGGCTTCAAGTCGATCTCGAGAAAGTTACTAAAGTGTACGCTGTTGCAAGCCAAGGAGATATCAATGGCAATGAATGGGTGATATACTTTAAACCAGCACACTCTAAATCCTATGAAGACTTGTGGCCAACTTATAAGGATGCTAAAGGCTTGGAAGTGGTAAGATTTGGGCCAAAATGTCCTTTTAAGCCCGGAGCATCGAACATTTCATGGCGTTCTATAGTTAGATTCAGTAGTAATCGGTTTGAGCTCAGGAATAAGAGTTTATTGTGCAGTCTGATCGTCCGGGTGAGAGTAGTCCCGAGAAGGACTGATTAAGGTAGTACTGCCTGACATTTCTTTTTTAAGGTTGGAATCAGCTTTCTTGAGTAAGTCACTGAAATTTTTTATTGCCTTAGGTTAATCATCGCACAGAGTCCAAGTAAACAATGTTATTCGCAAGTTGATGATGTTCAGATTTGCAATCGTTGGCGATATAGCCAACGTAACATGATCGCTTGTCGGCAGGTCGAAAGGGTGCGTTTGTTAATCCATATTCTGCATCTCAGTTTCTGCGACAGTATTGGAGATGAGCGGTTCCTTTCAGCTGTTTACAATATTTATCGTTATTGAATCCTCTTTTCGAGAAAATTTATTTCAAATATTGTGACTGTGTTATATTTTCTCATTATTTTATAGATATTTCACAGGGACGGTGGATCCTACACAATTGACCAACATGCTCTGTAAGTTCTGGTTTATGCAAGATACCTTCGTTTTCTACCAGTTACTTGGCAACGATCAATCTGCCGTAGAGTTGAGGTTTACGGAACCATCAGTAAGTTTTCTTCAATTGAATTTGGAATGTGACCCTCCCCTCTTTCTAGGTTATCAGAACATTCAACAATTTTCGATGTCAAAATCCTAAGTTTTCACAACAATTTTTGAAGTAGTTGCCGAAAGAAATAAATTGTAGCCTTTGGGGGAGTTTTACAATTTTTTAGGGGGAGTTGTTCTTGGCGTGAACTAAAGTTATCACATGCACTTGCATGCAAATGAATTCCAAACCTCTCCTGAGATCTAAGTTTTTTATGACTATTTATCAATTTTTACTTAATTTTAGGCTCTTCTGCCTTTCATATACCTTATATCTACATCAAGGAGTTTTGCAGCATTCACCACTTTTCACATAGCGAATAATACATACGCAAGCATGATGGATTTTATAAAATGGATTTTCTAACATGGATTTTCTAATATGGATTTTCTAATATGGATTTTCTAATATGGATTTTCTAATATGGATTTTCTAATATGGATTTTCTAATCGTGTAACGATTAGTGCGTATTTGTGGCAACGTAAAACTGCGCTGGTTTCTAAAATTGTATTTTCCAATGTTCTTGAGTGGTAGCAGATGGTGGAGTTTATGAGCAGTATTAGATACCACTGAGTCAAAGAGTTTATAACACTGTCCATTGCGCCTTATATTACTTATACCAAAACCCTAATCTGCTCAATCGTATCTCTTTCTTTTCCTGAGTTATAAAAGAAGTCAAAGTTCACTCGAGCGAATGCCAACCGTGACGATTTACAAGACCTAAACTCGACGTAACTGAAGAACAATTAAAAAGAACCTTAAAAACTCATTTTAAAATAAATACCACTGCCTTATATTTCATGTCTATCTTAGCCGTGGAGCCGACTTTTGAAAACACCGAGTTTCAAAAAAGGTAGTTAGAAGACTTAAGAACAAGTCTCTGTAAGAATCAAACATCTTGGGAAATGAAAATTTTCAACCCCCTTCAAATTTTGCATGCAGTTAGGCGCTCAGGGGGATGCACAAAAATGCCCTTTTTAAAGGTCGCAGCACTCTTGTTGCCATGGTAACAACGGCTACTTGTTCGAGGCCTGGGGCCTTATTTTCATACAAAAACGTCGCAAAAAAAGAGTGAAATGTTTATTTCTCTGTCTCAAGCTAAATACAACATTATAAATTGGCACTTCTACCATACATTGTAACATCATTCGTCTTCACGTTGATTAATTTTCCCTGGGAGTGAATGTGAACACATCAATAGATTATTCATCTCGGTACAGTTTCGGTCATTTTTGTTGTCGGGTAAAACAGGGAAAACGTTTATCTGAATTTCTCCAAAAGTACACCGATTCTGGAACTGAAACTACCCACCTAGCTGATAATAATATTCTAGTTTCTAAATATGTAAAATCTCTGCGGGCCTGCCTCTACTTTTTATCGGGGCAGTTCGCGAAAAAAGCTCAAAACCAGATATTGCATAATTTGGCGATGTTTACATCTAATGTTCTCAACAACAAACGTTCCAGACAAATGAAACGTGCGAGGATTTGAAAGAATGTTATCTTGTGAGCAATATCCCGAAGAGAAATCTCGCCTCTGGTTGTCATCTTTTAAGGAAATTGATTAACCTTCATGGAGGACAACTCGACGTAACTACAAACATATACCTCAAATCGTGTGCATATCATCCAAATTCCGAGTGCTGCACCTTCTTTCATAGGAATTTGAGCGATCCGAAATCCTCTGAAGGTACACTGTTCTACTTGTATGTCATTGGAAACATATTGAAGTCGGCTGATCTGCACGAAACTATCCTCATACCGGTCATTTGTCATAAACATGTACATTATCACGATGACATGACGCTGTATTTCTCCATGGAGTTTCCATCGGTCGCTCCAAAGAAGACGAGAAATGGATATTTTTCATATATGTCAGCAGATTTCCGCTTTCTGAAGTAAAAACAACCCCCCCCCTCAAAAAAAGGGAAAACTTCGATTGAACGCTCGTAAACACTGAGAATCTGAGAGCAGAAATCGCAACTTGTCAGCGGCAGTACTAGATGTAAAACCCAGTCGCCACAATTGCAATTTATAACACTCGCGCGAAAATCATCACAAAGTGGAGATTTTTAACTACTCAGTATCCCTGCAGTACAGCAAGCGGAACAGGGATTTCATCACAATCAATTTCCAAAAATTTAGCTTTTTTCAGGGAGTCTTTCGCGTGCTCGAACGTTATATTGGCTTTGAGCCTTGATATTTATTTCCCTTGATCATTTTAACCTGTATAATGGCCGGAAGCTATTTGCAAGTTGATGTCACAACTCCCTAAACATAGAGGGCAAAATTACTAAATGCTGATAGGCTAAGACAGAGGGCATTAATAATCAGCACCCTCCTGTAAGGAAGTGAAACCTGGACAACCTATGCCAAGCAAGAGCAGAAGGTGAACCGTTTCCACAAGCTATGTCTTTACCGCATCCTTGGCACCAGCTGGAGGGACAAAGTGCCCAATGCTCAGGTTCTTGCCCGTGCCAGCCTCCCCACAATGTACACGCTGCTCAGACAACGTAAACTGCGCTGGCTTGGCCATGTGCGCCGTATGGAAGACGGTTAGATCCCCAAGGATATCTTCTATCGTCAGCTTGCTTCGGGCAAAAGACCGCAAGGTCGCCCCAGCTGAGATATAAATAAGTCTGCAAGCGCCACATCAAAGCTCTAGACATAGAGAGATCTGGGAGGACACTGTGGCAAACCTCAGCAGCTGGCGCTGCTTGCTTAAGAAACTGCTGAAGACAGGTGAGGAGAAGATCCCGAACCTGGCAGAAAGAGGAGAGCCAGGCGGAAGTCACAGAGACACAGACACCCCCCCCACCCCACGACGAACTACATCTCTATTCTAGTCGCAACACCACGATCTCCCACGGGACACTTTTAAGACAAAACAAAAGCGTTTAAGGTCCCAAAAAAACCGATCCTAATTTGTTTTGGAATATTTGTTGTGTTGAAATTGGCTCGTACATATGATAAGCTAAATAAATACAAAAAAAAGAGATTTTGTGTCACAGGTACTTTGATTTTGGTAATTGTCCAAGGCAAAACTATTTAAAATTGAAAACATTCAAAATGGCTTTGCCTAAAAGCATTATAATTTCATTGACGGCGAATATTTTTCAGCAGGGCTGGTTTCGTTGCTTTAGCGTCGTGTTACAAAATTAAAATTTTATTTGGCTGATTCGTGTGTTTTACTGAACACTGAAATGGCTTCCTACGAAATAGTACAACAGCGTGCGTTTTTGACCTTCGTATTGAAAGGAAATTTTGCCACATTTATCATAAACATTATCTGAGTGGCAAATCGTTACTTATAACATAATAACACAGGAAAAGGTCTTTATAACTTTATATAATTAAACTACCACAGGAATAGGTAAACAATGCAATAGTTTGACAAGAATAACTGGTGAAGCATAAACATCGTAAAGTTCTTCATACAGGTAAAACAGTATCAGCAGTACCTGTGAATATTATGTGATGAAAATTGGGTTGTAAAACGCCATCATATCGAAAAGAAACTCGCGGATGTCATAGCTGCATCACAAAGTTCATTTAGAAATGAATTATTCCTGGAAAAAAAATTTTGTTAAGTCAACTGAAGAACTAAAAGCAACTGATGAAAATAGAAATGCTCCCAAAAACATGTCTTATTGTTTGCTATTTGACATCGCTGAACGGCACATTTGCGAGATTTGTACAGTTACGAGCAGTTTTTTCGACAGCACTTATTCTGGTCAAATACCATGATTGGGCATCTAAAACCTGTGTAAAGCGCGTAACACGAGCCAGAAACACCCCTTCTACAAAGACCAGTTACGACTCGACTCGCTGACGAATCATATAGGGAAATAGGTGACTAATCCAACAAGCAGACGGCATTTCCGAAATGAATCCAGCTGAAAAGAAAAGCAATGTAGTCTGCAGTAATAAAAGTGAACGTAGAACGGACTGAAAGACTCGCTGTATATTACTTCTTTCATTTGTAAACGTTTTTAGTTGTTGTATGTTTAAGAGGATCATATTCTGCTTCCTAGTTGAAAGATATAAATTCTTAATTATGTTGTGTATCTATACTTCACAAATTGTTCGCAATGTTATATACTACCTAGCTTGATCTTTCTTATTTCAGTTTCTAATTTTTTTTCCTAATGGTACAGATTCATGTGCCAGAAAAAGCGTTTTTGGAAAGAGCAATTTCCTGCCCACATTACCTCTGTCTAAAAAGGCCACTTACCAACAATGGTCACTTTCCTCTAGTCAAGGTGGCCGTTATAGAAAGGTTAGACTGTACTTGAATTATTAACAGAATGTTAAGTGGACCGTTTTATAGACGAGGTTCTCATTTTAAGGTCAAGTTGCGTCAAATTAAAATACGGTTTCCTGCCCAAATCAACCCATTTAGATTTTCCCAATCCGTCGAATTCTTGATAAGTAAAATTAGTGGAACTTAACGCTTTCTGGTGAGATCCATTACGTCACAATTTCCGCCAGTCAAGTATGCCTTTGTCAGAGACAATTGATACCACATTTTAAACACCTTCAAGACTGAAAAGAGCACAAATCAGGGGATTACCAGCAAAACTCACTCATAGAGGACCACGAACTGATGGAGTTTTGTTTTCACAATCGCACCTTTTATTTATTCCAAGGGATCTCCAGCAAGTAAAATTTACACGCGCTTTATTTGATCTGCTTCCCTGGTGGCGACTCTGTTAAACGGTTAATTATTCAAGCGGTGAAACCAAAACATAAATTTACTCTTAAACTACAACACATCAAGAGAGAGAGAGAAAAATTAACTTATCGAATATCGGGTACATTTATTGCTGTGTTACTTTAGCTGCACTGGATGGGACTTCAACGGTGATTTCCGAATGAACTTATGCTTTCACGAGTGAAACAAAACTAACTGAGAAAACTGCTGCAAACGCTTAATTTTTTACTTTAAACACTAGCTCAAATAAATTATGCAAAATTGAAAATTAAAACAATGTAAAAGAAAGACAAAAGATATCTTAAAGTCATGTGCTAACAAAGTGGTGTTTCGAGCTTACACACAATTTACACCCGTAGTGTTACACACTTCACGCCGTGAAATAAAAAGCTCCGTTGAACTAACCTACACAGAAACGTTTTCCGAAAAGCATTATTTCCGTTCATCTGAGACAAAGACGTAGTCTAACTCTTAGGCACAAGTAGAAGCTTTTGCGTCACTTTTTCCAAGAGTTGGCTCTTTATCGCTCAGTTTAAGCAGCAATTTTAGAAAAACAACAACAACAAAAAACATTAAGAACTAACGAGAGTATCCTATAAGACCGTGCCTGGTGGTAGTAATCTTAGTGGTTTTGAAACACTGGCAGGTTAGA